CACTCTTTCCATGCCCTTGATGGGCCTGTCTACTCTGGGACTTATTCCTAATATGGAATAAGTCCCTGTGTGGACTCACTTATTCTGGGATAAGAGTACTCTCTTTCCAATAAATTTAAGCTATTTTGACATTTAAAGTCAACTTGGAAGATACAGTATAAAGTTGGATCTGCCTCCCCCATAAAATAGCACAATATATTTTCACACATTCCAAGAGTGCTTTTTAGCTCCAGCAGCTTAACTAGATTTCTGTGGTTGTTGCTCCATCAACTGGGAGGCCATTGGGCATTTGGTCACCATTGTGATGACATTAGTTGTAGGTTTTCCTGTTTTAGATTCCCATGTAGCAGGGTGGACCACGAGCAAGCTGTCATCATCCACCCCACCAACACTCTATCCTCAATACAAATTAGACAGTAACATTGCAGAGATACGTTCCCTTTTCTCAAGAGCATTCAACAGGTTACCTAACCTTACACTGGACTTATATCTGGTTCTCCAAGTTATCCATATGAAAGAAGAAGCAGCAGCTAAAGCAGGTATCAAATTTATGCCCAACTCAGAATACATCATTATATTTACTGTGCAGTACAGGCGTGCAGATGTAGACACGTGCTTATACTGTACAGTAATGTCAGTTGCTATGCAGTAAATGTGCATGTGTAGATGCACCCTCTTACAAACAAACACCATGAGCATCAGTGTCATTATCATCCAACACCAACTTTGCTGGGCCAGCCATGTCATCCAAATATCCAGTTCTAGACTCCCAAAGCACGTTTTATTTTCCCAGCTCAATCAAGGCATATGCTCAAGGGGAGGGTAGAGAAAGCACTTCAAAGATGTCCTCAAGGCCAACTTGAAAAATTGTAGCATCAGCATCAGCTCATGGGTAACTACTATCCAGGACTGCCCCAAATACAGGAAGAGTATGCTGCAAGGATCTCAGTACTTTGAAACATTAATGTAACAACTAGAGATGGAAAAGAAGTAGGGGTAGAAACTGTGATTGCAGACTAAAGCAAGAATCCAAAGCCAGCCACCCCACACAGAAACATATGCCTGAGTTGCAAGAGTGGCCACATCTACTAGTATAAACAAGTACTAAACAAATGTGCAGTAACCCAGCCCTGGCAAATGCCCTTTTTTGTGATGCTACTGGGCAATAGGCTAATACTACTGCGCAGTAGAGTCATGTCACCATTTTTGCCATGAATTGCTACTGAACAGTATTATTGGGCTACTGTGCAGTCAACATCTTGTGTAGATGTGCCCAGTCTGTCAATCCCAGATTGGCCTTGTCAGCCGTCTTTTGACCCACAGATAAAGCAATCATGGAAGACAACCATCTTTGACTGTAAGGGATGTATCAAATTGACTTTACTGTGTAGTAAAAAGGGAGCACGCACATGATCCAAAGCCCTGCCAGATAGCAAATCACTGTAATGTGTAATGTAGTCTGGTAATAAAGTCTGGTTCCTACATATGCCTTGCCCAAAATGTGATATACCTCATCCAATGCAGCATGCGCCCTCTTGGCACCTACGTGGGTGAAACTAAACAGCAGCTATGCCTCAGAATAAGCTCTCACAGAAAAAAAGTCAAGGACAGAGATATACATACACCATTAGGACCACATTTCTCACAGAAAAACTGCTCCTTCTCTGATCTTTCTATCCTCATACTCAGCAAAAATCTGCCTAAGACATTCAGAACAAAAATTTAGAAGATGGCTGGACACTAAGGCTAGGGACAGAAGTTACACATAAACTGGTTTAAGTGATCAGAAACTGGTTTAAACCTGTAACAACAGAATCTCAGTGCATATAAACCAGTTTCAAAATGGCTGAAACTGGTTTAAGATAAACCTGGTTGATTGTAGTATCAGATTTAACTGATTTGGGTCAACTGGTTTATGAAATTTCTTTCCCAGACCCCTTCCTGGTTCAAGTTAAATCACAGTCCACCAGCATGCTTTTCAGCACTGGGCTGGGTGGTGCTGTCTGCTCAAGACAGCAGGGCTGGCCCTGCCCCTCTGCTCCCTAGCTGGAACAGTGAAGGCTAGCTGATGGGGGTGGGGGACAAACCCAGCTGGGGATGCAGCCCAATCTGTGGCGGGGAGAAGGAACTGCCTTCCCGGAGGCAAACTCTGGGTGGGGTCTGGGGCCAGGAAGAGGGGTTAAACAGCCTTTCCTGCACTCAAACTTACTGCTGGCTGCAACTCTGGATTACAAATCCCAGATGCACCTGGAAGCAGGAAGAAGAAGTGATGAGCAACTCTGCAAAGTCCTGCTACTGTAATTTTGGACAGCAAATCCCAGAGACCTTGGGGGCAGCAAAAAGAGGAAATGAACACACAGCTAGAGAGCCATGCTCTAGTGCCCCAGGGCTTCTGGCCTGTGCCACTGCAAGTATGTGGCTGAATTTCCTCAATCAAAGGTAAATGTCTGTTCACTTCTGTTTCAATTTAATCTGTGCAGTTTAGACTATCCTGCAAAGACTGAATTGATTCAGCCTCGATTTCATAGATTAGATTCATAGATTAAGGGTCGGAAGGGACCTAGTAGATCTTCTAGCCCGACCCCCCGCCAGGGCGGGAGAACAACAAAAAACCCCAGAAAGAGAAACGGGACTCAAATGAGTCCAGCCAGGTAGGCATCCAGCCTCTTCTTAAAGACCCCCAGGGTAGGGGCCAGCACCACTTCCCTTGGAAGTTGGTTCCAGCTCCTAGCCGCCCTAACCGTGAAGTAGTTTTTGCGGATGTCCAATCTATACCTCCTCTCCATCAGCTTGT